GAAGAAAGCTGGAGTTGGCACTGACCAGAGAACCAAAAAGAAGCAACAGGAAGAGAGACTGAAGGTCAAGGTGAGGCTCACTTGATTTGCCTTCAGGAGTTGAAGCCTCAGAGACTTGGATTGATGCAAGGTCTTCTGTGCTCCCCTAAATATGGAGTCCCTCCTAAGGAGGAAACGGCTCTGGAACATCAGTCTGCTGAGAGGAGAGAGTGTTGGCACCATGCCTTAGTTGATGGAGTGAGCACCGTCCCCTCTGCAGCTTCTAAACCAGAGATCATGAACTCAGGTGCCTATAAGAGCCAGATGGCTAAGGGACAAGGAATGCCTGGGGCTGGGGGAATAGGAACACAGATACCCTTTGAAGGGGCATCTCCGTTAAAAGAAGCTGAAAAGGTAGACTTACATGAAATCTGATTTTTAAACATTGTGAAGGCTAAGAAAAACAACAAATTTAAGCCTATGGGCTAGAGTCAGTCCACAGGTTGCCAGTTTCTAGCATGACCAAATGAATGAATAAACACTGAGTTGGGCTCACAGCCTACAGATAAATCCTGACTGGAATCTCCATTTCCAGCCTGGGAAAGTAGATTTTCCTTGGCCTTTGAAGAAATTCCTTCTGCTAACCTCCTTGTAGTCTTGCTACACTGAGAAGTGGAAGTAGCTTCGAGACATCATCCAACTCCCTATCTGTGTCCCGAATGAGTAAGAATCACTTGTGTGTAAAGGACAGCACACCTCACTGGGCATCCAACAGTCAATTTTCATTGCTTCCAAATGCCATAGCAACCCTTCTTTCCTGTTGTGTTTCCCTTAGACAGATGGCACCACATCACCAGTGTTGCTCTCTGGCTCCTGCCACCCACTAAACTTTATTACCAGAAGAGCTCCCAGGACTCCACAGTTCCGGGAGAGAATGGCACTAAGTCTTTTCTGGGAAGAATGTCCACCCACCTTCCCTCACTGCAGACGATAGACACACTCAGTGTCAGGGTAGATTGGTAGGTTCAGCTGGTACTTCTTTTCCAGAGCAGGTGGCACAAAACGGCCCCCCAGGTAATGGTAGCGACCAGTAAACTGGGTTGCAGACTTTTTGGGTGCCGTCAGGGAGATGAGCAAGTCCGGCTGGATCCCTCCAGCATTTCCCTTCTCCACATCCCATCCTGAAAAGAGGGTGGTGTTCAGGAAGAACAAAAGGACAGACGTCTAGTCCCCTTCCACAACTTGCTTTATTCTAGTCCTAAAGGAGTAGGAGGCCCTCTCAGTCCCCACCTGAGGAACTTTCATCCTATGACCTCCATATACCCTTGGGCTTTGGTCTCTTCATGGGGCCAACATGTAAAGGGGGCTCCTGACTGTTCCCCAGCCTTGATGTGGGATCCAGAAAGCTGTATGCCCCACTAGATTCAAATTATTTTAGACACAGTCTAAGCTGTGGCTCATCAGGGCTCCTAGGTACCAGCCTCCAGACACAGGGTAGGGCCCCAATCATCCCCAACCTTCTGGGTCCCAGCACCTGAGGGAATGTCGATGCTGGCAATGGGCACAGTGAGTCCCTTCAGGACACTCAGGATGCTGTGGAATGGCTCCCGAACATCGCCTTTGAAGCTGAAGCCGAAGATGGCATCCACCACCAGCTCATACAGCTCGTCAATCATCGTGGGCTGTGGTGGAGCAGAAAAAGGAAAAGATGTCTGAGCCAGCAGGTATACAATGAGCCTTAACCGGGGAGGGCTGTCCTCTGCACCCAAAGACCATTCACAGAGGCACAAATATAACTATGTCATCCAGAGGGCATCCTGAGGCCTAGAGAAAGTGGGTTGGTCCCTGATTCAGGCCAAGCTGAGTCCAGACACATTTTCTGTTCTTAGTATCTGCCTGCCACTGGGGAGGCTACAGTGTGGGATAGCCTGAGACTGGGAGTCAGGAAGGCCAGATTCTGATCTTCGCTCTGCCATGATGTAATTTTGTGATTTTGGGCAGACCACTTCTCTGTACCTCAGTATCTTCATCTGTAGAATGGGTTAAGAAAGTTTTTAAGGCCAGGCGTGGTGGCTCACGCCTGTAATCCTAGCACTCTGGGAGGCCGAGGCGGGAGGATCGCTCAAGGTCAGGAGTTCAAGACCAGCCTGAGCAACAGTGTGACCCTGTCTCTACTAAAAATACAAAGAAATTAGCTGGACAACTAAAAATATATAGAAAAAATTAGCCAGGCATGGTGGTGCATGCCTGTAGTCCCAGCTACTCGGGAGGCTGAGGCAGAGGATCACTTGAGCCCAGGAGTTTGAGGTTGCTGTGAGCTAGGCTGACGCCACGGCACTGTAGCCCGGGCAACAAAGCAAGACTCTGTCTCAAAAAAAAAAATTTTTTTTTAAAAAAATGCTCAAATTTCTCACTCCTAAATTCATGCATGTGCAGAAAGGGTTTAGGATGCAGCAGTCACTCCAGCCCCTGAGAGGGCCAGATCATGTGTTTACTGCATGCTAGGGGAGGAGGATCTGACTACAGAGGAAGGAGTGACCAGGGAAGACGAAGAAGAAAGGAAGCCTTAGAGACGGTGATGTTGGGGATTCATGGAGCCCACCTTATGAAGAAGGCTCTCACACGCCTTCTATTCAAATAGCATCCTTTGGGCACCTTCTGTGCCAGGCGTTACAATGAGCTCAGCCTGGAAACATGAAGGAAGAGCAGAGCACAGGCAGAGGTTACTGGGGAGATGAGGTATTCAAATGGAGCCACCTACCTCTGGGGGCATTTCACCAAGGAAAGGGATGTCCATTTTCTGGCACTGGGTCACCAATGCAGTGAAGAGTGGCTTGTTAGGCCTTTTGGGGTAATAGATGGTTGGCTGGTAGCCCTAGGAGGAAAGTGGTAATTCAATCCCAGATCCCAGAATCCTCATGCCTTCCCCCACGGCGTCTCCCCCACATACTCACAAAGAGTTTGAGGTGTCGAGCGCAGACCAGGCCATCTCCTCCGTTATTCCCCGGGCCACAGATGACCAGGACAGTAGGAGGGCTCCTGGACATGGACGTGGGGGGATATGCCTGGAGGTGGATGGAGTCAGGGGAATTCATAGGGGTTTCAGACAGTAACAGGGTTGGCCCAGCTGTCTCTCCCACCCCTCTGTGCGTACGCCTGGGAACTTGAGCAGTGACTCCTCCCTCGCTCCTCCCAAAGGCCGAGAGTTGTGCCACTGACCTTGGCGATGGCTGTGGCACAGCTCAGCCCAGCCAGCTCCATAAGTTGGTCCACGCTGAACTGGTATTCGTTAAATAGCTCCTCGTCCACGGCCTGGGCCTCCTCCTGGCTGAGGGAAACCCTTAGCCTGAGTTCCCGCCCCTCAGGTGCTCCGTAGCGCAGGCGGCGCGGCCGTCCCGGGTCCCGCCCCCGGGAGGGAGAGCAGGTCACCCGAGACTTGCGCCCCGCTTGCCGGTCCGGAGCTTCGCCTACCTCAGGTACTTCACTGCTGTGCTCGCCATGACCTCTGAGTAACAGCGGCCACCCGAGTGCAGTCGCTGCGGTCCCCACCAGCTGGGTCCTAAGCGGCAGGCGCCGGCCTGGCTTCCGATTCGCGGCAGACGCGAGCCGGTAACCAGCAGTCCCAGCCCCAGCAGCGCCCTGAGCCCGGACATTCAGCTCGCAGAACGCGCGCCCCCGGCCCGCCCGGCCCCGGCGCATGCGCAGCGCTCGCCCCGCCCCCGGAGAGGCCGAGCCGGCACGCGCGCGTTCCGGAAGTCGCCCGGAGGCGACGGCGCGCGCGAGGCTCTAGCGGCTCCTGGGCCGTTTTGCAGCACCAAGGTAGGCTGAGGAGCGTGCTATCTGGGGCCGACCTTCCGTGCACCTTCCCTTACAGCCTGGATCCTAGCCCTTCTCGAGGGGGTTTAGAGATGCCACACATTTCCAAATGTACCGAAGTGCTTTGCTCCCACCGCCCTTTAATAATAATTCACGGTTTTGTATCTCAGACAACTGTATAGCACAGCACTTAGCCTGGATTCCTTCCCCACCTCTTGCTAGCTGAGTGAACGTGGACACCCCTGGTGTCAGTTTCTCGGATATACAACAGGGAGATTGGGTACATACTTCATAAGATGACATACAAAACCGTTGCTGAGGGCGTGGCACCTGATGCATAGATTAAGCTAATGTTCTTATTTACACTACTGAGCGTTTTATATAACTTAGCACCCCACTCTCCACTACATTAGCTTCCCCTGCCTCTGCTTTTTACCAGGGTATCTATCACGCTGTACTTCCCTAATCATATTTACTTCCTTTACCAAGATAATAGCTACGGAAATAGAAAATTGTAAACCTCAAATATGTTCAGTAAGCTACAGTTAAAAATGTAATTGAAGCCTTGGCAACATAGCAAAACCCTGTCTCTACGAAACAAAACACAAAAACAAAAAAACTAGCATAACGTGTTGTTATTTCCCTATAGTCCCAGCTACTTGGGAGACTGAGGTGGGAAGATTGCTTGAGCCCAGGAGTTCAAGGTTACAATGAGCTATGATCTCACCACTGCACTCCAGCCTGGGCGACAGAGCAAGACCAATCTCTTAAAAAATAATAATAATCGTAGTTGAAACCATAGGCTCCAGGTCACAATAGTGTTTCACTAGAAATCTTGAGAGGAAGAAAAACTCAAGTACTTCTGAGAATGCGAACACACTCTGTTGCATGGTTAAGAGAAAAGGTTGGGGAATAACAAACCAGTTACCTTGAAGACACTAAGATAAAAATAATTATCCAGATTGTTATGGACTGAATGCTTGTGTCCCCTCCCAAATTCATAAGTTGAAGCCCTAACCTCAAATGTGATGGTATTTGGAGATGAAGACTTTGGGAGGTGATTAGGATTAGTTGAGGTCTTAAGAGCTAGGCCCTGGTCTGGTAGAATTAGTGCCAGTGTAAGAGCTCTCTCCTCCCTGCCCCCTGCAAGAACTCCCACCTTGCTGGCACTCTGATATCAGAATTCCAGTCCCCAGAACTGTAAGAAAATAAATTTCTGTTGATGAAGCACCCAGTTTATGGTATTTCATTACCACAGCCCAAGCCAAGACAAAGGTGATGTGGAGGTCCTCTTTTTATGCTAGATAAATTCTTATTCTGTACCATGAAATGAGTTCCTGGCTAGTTCACTGAGAATGGCAAGAACGCCTCCTGCTTTCAACTACCCTTCTGGTATTCTCCTTTTTAATTATAAGAGATTTGTCATCTCCTGTGGGATGTACATTTGTCCTCCAGCTATGCTTGTTTTACATGTTTGTTGTGGGAAATTGAATTTGTCAAGACTTTGTGGTGGGAAATTGAGTTTACTCATCTAAATTGTAATGTACACGCCTATATATACTGGTATGTACATTACAATAGGATAATCTTACCCAAGACCTCACTGACTTTATTTTCTAACTTCAGTATATAAGTGGTTTCACTTTTACATGTTATCCAAGACTCCCTACAGGTCTGTTTGAGGAAATAAATTTGGTGATTTTGAAAATTCATTTCTAAAACACAGCATGTTTCTTTGACATAGATAACATCTTTGAACACTTATATGTGCCAGGTGCTAAGATGAATCATTTCATGTTCACAGCAACCCTATTATTATTCCAGTTTTACAGATGAGAAACCTGAGGCTCAAAGATGTTGAATGACATGCCCAGTGATACGATGGTAGCTGTCAGTGGAGCTGAGATCCAAGCAGCCTGACTTAGAGTCTGCACTCAAGCATTGTTCTATCCTGAACTGTCTCACCAAATGCAGACATATGATGTATATAAGGGGTTGTCACCACTGACTTCATTCTGATGAAGAGTAACTATAAAATAATGGCACAAAGATATCCCACTACACACACCCAGAATTTATACAACCACCAAATGGGGAATATAAAACAGACCAGAAAGGCAGTGCCCAAGATCTAGTCCATCTTGTTCCTGCCATTCAAACTTTTGGAGTTTTCTTTGGGAAATGCTTTCAAAACCAATTCAGGTAGGACACATGGATTGAATACCTGCTATGTTCCAGATGCTTTACATATATTATCAAATTTAATCCTGTCAACCCAATGCTGTATTTTTATCCTGTTATAGAGAAAATTGAGTAGCAGAGAGAAGATAGCTATTAAATGGTAGAGCCAGTGACAGTTGACATTGGGTTGGCCTGATCCAATAGCAGTACTACTGTGTGGCAGTCGCTGCTACTTGTCCCTCAAAATCCATTCTCTTTTCTTCCTTTGGCAATAGATCCCCCGAGTTTTATCTGGCTACATGGCTGCCCAGATAAATACTACATTTTCCAGCCTGTCTTGCAGCAGCTAGGCATGGCCATATAACTAAATTGTGACCAAAGCTGAAATGATATATGCAATTCCCAGGTCATACCCTTAAAAAAAAAACAAAAACGGTTTTCCCCCACTTCCTTTTTTCTTCTTACTGGCTGGAATGAAGGTATGATGCTGGAGCTGAAGCAACCATTTAAGACCATGAGACTTTAAATCTTGTGTTAAGAATGGCAGAGCATCCTGTCTGGGTCCCCAAGCTCCAAGGAGCCACCTTATCAGCCCTGGGCTGCTTAAATGAGAATGAAAGTTTTGTTTAAAAGCACTGTTATACAGACCTTCGTTATGGCTGTTTGTCCTACCTAATCAAGACATCTTGAACACCTGACAAGATAATAAGCTCCATTTAGATAAGGAAGATTAACAGCTGTGTCCCTAGTACCTGCCATGCCCAGCATATAGTGGGGTCTTCTACAAATATTTTAATGAATCCTCAAAATCTCCTAGTTAACAGTACAGTAGAAGCCCTTGAAGAGTGACAGAATATGCCACCTCAAAATATGCCACTTTGGCATAAGGATGCCTTTTAGCTAAAGGCACTTGAAAAACAGTAGGTGTAAGAAGGGCACTCTAACCTCCCCTTTTCTTCCTGAAAGCAGGAAATAAAACTCCCACGTGAAAGATGCCCTCCTTATACCAGGAGGAATGAAGGATTCTTATCACCAGAGACGAGGCTGAGGCTGAGAGAATTCTGTACAAACAGACCTCGTTAAAAGAACTCCTATCTGCCTTTAGCCTCTGTATTTTTTTAGTTGCTTTTCCACAGTTGCCTCTCTTTGTTGAACCTAGCATAAAACATTTAGATTTTACCACTTCTTTGGCTCTTCATTTCCTTATGAGGACTCCTGTATATATTAAGTAAATCTACACACTTTTCTCCTGTTAATCTGTTTTACATCAACTTAATTCTCAAGTCCAGCCAGAGACCCTAAGAGGGTAAAGATCTGCCTCCCCTATACCCTCTTATCTGACATTATCAGGAGTAGATTATTTTATTTTCAACTTAAAAAATACATTCATTTTCCATCTGTCAAAGTGGGGGCAGTGACTGGAGTTTTTCATCTTCCTTACGTAAACCTCACCAGTTACGTATCACCCGCAATTTCCAGTTTGCTTCCTTAAGGTGAAACAACTAATGCCATGTTTGAAGCAACCTGTGTGCAGAATTTATTTAGATTTTTATGATTTTCTCTGAATTTATAATAATCTCCTTGCTCACATCTAATTCCACAGCAGCTTTTTTCCCCTTTTCACCACTTCTATTCAACATAGTACACAGCAGCTTTTAAAAGTGACTCACGTTAGTCAAATCTTCTAAAGATCCAACTTAGTTTTCATAGAAATGACACTTGTTTTCACTTCGTCAACATATATAATATTTAATTAAATTACAAATTACAGTAAACACACAACCGGCATAAACACACTTCACAAGTAACTCTGGGTAAGCATGGCTGAGCTGTGAGAGTGGAACTGCACAGCATTCTAGAAGATGCTCACTGCCTAGGTTTGAATCCCAACTTCCCCACATACTAGTTGTGTAACCTGGGAATTCAAACTACTTAAGCTTTGTGCTCTATTTTCCTCATCTGTGAAAGGGGATAATACTAATAATAGTACCTCATAAACTCAGAGGATTAAAGGGGAAAACACTTGTGAAGCACTTAGAACAGTGTGGAGCATGTGCTAAGTGCTCAATGTTACATACTGTCATCGTTGCTGGGCTGCTGGCAGCAGCTGTCCTACAGGCTGTAGGCCTGAGCCTGCGCCCAGCATCCCGTCTTTCATGGAGGAAGTGGGTGCCTCGATTGAGTAAGATGTATCTTCTGTAGTATTATTAATAGATTGTATGAGAAAAATGGAGGACTGGAGAGTCAGTGACTCCGAAGCCACTTGACCAAAAAGTCATAGTTTTTAGAACTGCAAGGGCTTTAGCAATCATGAGGTTTAGATTCAGGAAAAAAAGTGAAATTCACCATCCATTTTGCCTTTTTTTTTTTTTTAATACCTATTGAGTCCAAAAATCCTAGTGAGTAGCAAACAGAACCTCTCAGAGCTGAGACTGCAGAGCCCTCAGCCAGCGTCCTCAGGAAGCCACTGGCTGACTATGTTGTGTTCCCTGTCCACACAGGGTTGGACAGCTGGGAAAGGCTCAGTCCCCCGAAACCCCTAGAGTGTGTGTGTTGGGCAGGTTCTGCAGAGGTGAGGGCTCTGGCCACCAGCGGGGAGGTCACATGACTGTACAGAAGCCAGATTCTGTGGGTTTCCTCTGGGGACTCCTGCTGAGGGTTTCCCTGTGCCATTCAGGTGACCTGAAGGAGGCAGAGAGGGGCTTGCCAGTGAGGGTGACTGGGGAAAGAGCAGGAGGCAGCCCCCCTTGGCTCCAGCTTCCCCATGCCCTCTCTAGCCCTTACCTCTGCTGGTGGGCTCCAGAGCAGGAGGCAGTAGGCTTAAGTTTCATGTCCCCCCATTTTGCAGGACTGTCCTTTTCTCTGAGGCCTACCGTCAGGCCATGCAGGAAGCAGGGGATACCCCCGGCCTCCAAAGCCGGGTGAGGGTTGTTCGGATTGCTAAAGAGCAAAGACAAAGAGACTCAGGGCCCTATGTCCCAAGCACCAGATCACAGCTTCCTGTGACAGTGGTCATGTTCCCTTAAAATGATCCCAAGCCACATCTTCTACTTTCTTTGCCATTCTCCAAGCCTCCCTCCCTCCCCCAGGGACCCACCTATTGCCTTGGGAGCCATTGGGTACCAGGATGCCAGGGTACTCCACTCTGGGAGGGCCTGGAGCTCCAAATGGAAGATGGACCGTGGGTCCTGGACCTGGACAGAGAGAGACAGACACATTTACCACAGGCCTTTCTGTACCAAGAACCATCACAGTGGAAAAGAAAGCTCTGGAAGAAGAATATGGGGGGGGGGAGGTGCTGTTTGGGATGCATTGGTCACTGTACACAGAGGATGTGTAAAGAACTATCCCTTTATAGGGCAGGTGCTTGGTAAACATGGGCCAGTTAGAAGCTAGATGGTGGGAATGACTCACTGTGCCTGAAAGGAAACACACTGAAAAAAAGACATCAGTAAATTCAAGTCAGTTCAACAAGTAGCAAGGAACTCTCCTCCCACAGTTGCAAGCCTTTGGGGGAAAGAGACTAATAAACAGCGAGCTGGGGCCAGGAAGCGGGCCGCAAAGCAGGAGGCAAGCGGCGGGTGAGCGAGTGAAGCCCCAGAAGTCCCTGCTGCACCCACAGCCGCTCCCCATCGCTAGCATCACCGTCCAAGCGCCCCGCCCTCTGTCAGATCGCTGGCGGCCATCAGACCCTCATAGGAGCGCGAACCCCACTGCAAACTGCGCATGCGAGGGATCCAGGTTGCGCTCTGATGAGAATCCAACGCCTGATGATCTGAAGCAGAGCCCAGAGGACGACGCCCCCCATTCCCCCAGTCCGTGGAAAACCTGTCTTCCACGAAACCGGTACCTGGTGTCAGAAAGGTTGGGGACCGCTGAGCTGGGGTAAGAAAAGCACCCAGCGTGGTACTAGGCATGTAGCAGGCTTTCAACAAACCTTGGCGCTCTAAGATGCAAAGTTAAGAAAGCCATGAGGGCACGAAGACGTGATTCTAGAAAGGGTTAGGGGGTGGGGGGAGAATGGGCCAGGGCCTCCAGAAACAAACAGAAATGGGGGGAGGGCTGTTCTGGGGGTTGGGAAGCAGAAGGGGGAATAGGGGCACGGGTGGTGAGGGAAGCAAGAGGGGTGGGGGAGGGTCCCACACGTGCGGGGAGGAGAGGAATGGCCAGGGACAGCCTGCATCAACTCACGCTGCATTCTCCCAGGCCCAGAAGTCTCGAGAACATTCGCCGACCCCTTCTCTTTTTTCTCCTCGGGGCCCGCCTCAAGCTCTTCGACTTCCCACCCACCGGAAGATCTGTGGGGATAGGGAACCGGGCGCGGCGGGCAGAGCAGCACCTAGCCCCCTCCTCCCCGGGAACCAGCGAAGTCCCACCCCACCAAGCCACCTCCCAGCACCCTCCAGAGGCCACGCCCATCCCGAAGCTCCGCCTCCCTCACCCTCGCTGTGCTTCTGCTGTGCTGCCTCGCACCCTGGCTGGGGTCCCTGCCGCGCGGCAGGCCCTGCCTGGAGCCTGGGGCCTTCCTGGAGCCGAGGTCTGGGAATAAAGGGGGATAAAAAGAATGGATTTGAGAAAAACGGCCGCCCCAGCTGTGTATGTGTGCAGGAGTGTATGTTCCCTCCATCTACCTGCAGGAAGACACATGGCCCCAGAGAGACCTGGTGTGCAGCTTGTATCTGAGAATAAAACTCCAGGGTGAGGCCCTTTGTTCTCTTAAGGTCCCCACTTAGTCACTCTCAAGTTACAGCTCAGACTTAGGGACTGTCACACTAGGCCAGAACCTGACAACCATCCCATCCTGTCTGGAGCCTCACGGGGCCAAGTCACAGAGAGCTGGTAGCTGACCTTGGATGGGACCTGGGTCTTCTGACCCCCACTCCAATCCTCTGCTTGTACCAAGCTAATTTAATTTTGCTTGCAGATTGTAAATATGGTGTCCTAGTCTTTAAAACGAGAGATCATAAAACCTTTTAAATACATATAATAAATATTATAATTTCAATTCCTGGGTTGGAAAGAGGTTTTCTGAGGGTGTCTCAAAGTGTGAGGGAGGAGAACGTTGGAGAGACAACGAACCATGAAGAGAGACGCAGGTGGAGACAGGGTGAGGCAGAGCTGGAGGGGCGAGAGGGACTTCCCTGGAGCACTATCCCCACCCTGTGGCCATTTAGGGAACTGCAGCCAAGGACTTAAAACTTTCTGCCTCCTCGTCTATATATATATATTTTTTTTTTTTTTTTTTTTTTTTTTTTGAGACAGAGTCTCACTCTGTCTAAGCTGGAGTGCAGCGGGCTGATCATAGGTCACTGTAGCCTCAAACTCCTGGGGTCAGGGGATCCTCCAGTCTCAGCCTCCTGAGTAGCTAATACTACAAGTGCACGCCACCATGCCTCATTAATTTTTTTTTATTATTTTTTGTAGAGACAGGGTCTCACTATGTTGCCCAGGCTGGTCTCAAACTCGTGGAGTTAGCGATCCTCCCACCTTGGCCTTCCAAAGTGCTGTGATTACAGGTGTGAGCCACCATACCCGGCCAGGGCTTAGAATTCTTTATTGCACCCCTTCCCCTTCACCCAATGGGCCTGTTACCACCTAGCCAAAGCCCTGAAACAGCCCTTTGTGTTGGAAATGCGCCACGATCCCCCGCCCACCTGTCCACCTGCAGGAAAGTGATATCTATCCCATAGGCAGGCTCGGAGCAGATGAACACAGACGAGCAGTCAAGCATGGCAGCTCTGAGAACATCGGCTCTGCTTACCACCAACCCCTTCCCTGGGTAACCTTTCTCCATCCCTCCCTCCTTGTCTCAGGTGTCATCTCACCAGGGTGTGAGCCTGGACCAGCCCCACCTGGCCCAAGTGGGTCCTCATGGCATCTGCCAGCTTGGCCACCAGCCGTTCTCGCACAGAACCTGGCTCCTTCTGGAAGAGGGTGGATAATAGGGTAATGGGGGAGGCCTGGACTTTGTAGTCCTTTGGGGGCTGGGGAAGAAGGAAACAGGAAAGGGAGGAGGGAAGGGGGATTTGTCTCCCCTCTTTCCTATCCCATCCCCATGCTTTTCCCAGGGTCCTGCCACCATCTGCTCAGAATTGTGGATGGAGACTGACCCCTCCTCACAATAGTATCCCCAGGCCTAGCACACAGCATGTCCAATGCATGTTTGATGAGCGAATGAGTGGCGGGGAGAAGACAAGGACTGAAGGCAGGAGTGTCTGCCAAAGAAGGCTTCCTGGCAGAGGGATAGCAGGGAAGAGGTGGATTCTGGAATGGGGGGGTCTCACCTGACACTGGGCCAGTGCTTCCTTATAGTACTTCAAGGCCTGGTCATACTGCCCCAGTCTGGCTGCAGCAGCCCCCAGCCCCTCACAGGCCTGCCACTGCCCCTTCATGTCCCCTGAGGAAGAGAGCCTGAAAGGTCCTCTCACAGCTCCCTACCCCACTGACCCACCCCTGCGGAGGTACTCCCCACCCTCAGTTCCCCCCACCTGCCTCCCCACCAGCCCCAAAGACCCTCAGCCTTCAGGCACCCCCCCCAAGTCACATGCTAACCCCCTCACCCTTACCAGTGTCCCGGGCAGCTTGCAGGGCATGCAGGTAGTTGTCTCTGGCGGCCTTGTGGTCCTCCAGCTGGCTCAATGCAAATGCCAGGCTGCCAAAGCTCCGGCCCTGCTCCCACCGCTGCCCCATGGAGCCTGATGACAGAGCCCACCCCATCCTAAGAAGGGACTCTGGCTGCTGGGCATCAGGACCCTTCCCCCCAGCAACCAAGGTAGGGTTCCAAGGAGTCCTGGTGTCCAGCCTCAGCACAGCTCCAGATGGACCACAGAGGCCTGAACTCTCAATACCCAGCCTGTCCTCATCCTGAGTATCGGTCTGAATGTGTCCACCTGACTGGTCTGAGTCAGGCAACAACCCTGTGAGGTAGGCAAGGCAGGTGTCAATAACCCCAGTTATATACACGCATGGAAACTGAAGCTCGGCGAAAGTGATTTGCTGAGTGTCACATAAACAGAGGAGGGACTGGGCTCCACTTCAGGCCTCCTCTCCTGGCCAGTACCCTCCGCCTGCCCATTGCTGCCTCCAACTCCCAGGCCTTAGCCTCTGGGCCCACAACCCTCCATCCTGTCTGGCTGTCCCATCTACTGTACTCCCAGCCCTCACTACCCTGGTTCTGGGCTTCCAGGCCCCATAACTGGTCCTAGAGGTCCATCTACCCTTAAGCTTTGAGGCCTCTGTTGGAACCTTCCTTAGTCCCTTGGTCCCAGACCCATTCTGCAGCCCCTGGCACCCACCATGTAGGTCAGCAGCCTTCTGGTGAAACTCCCGAGCTTCCTGATAGTTGCCGAGGGCATTGTGGGCCATCCCGAGGTTTCTTAGCACCGTGGCCTGCTCTCCTGGCCCCCGGCACAGGGGCAGGGCCTGCAGGAAGGCCTCCACGGCCAGCGGGAACAGCTGGAGCTGGGAGTAGCCCAGACCTAGGTCATTATAGAGGTGCCCTAGAGGGCATAGCCAGGGTCACTGGTAGCCAGATCAGATGTAACTAAGGCTGTACTGGTGCAGCCCTTGTCCCATGCCTCCAGGCTCACTCTATCCCCTACCCCAGCCCTTGGAGTATCACCAGACTCTGTGTCTTCCCAGATCCCACACCTTCCCTGCACAAAGGCCTTACCCAGCAGTCCCTGCTCAGCGCTCCTCTCAGCAAGCCTCCGGCTCTCCTCCAGCACCTGCACAACTTCACCAACCCCATGCCGCCCGCTCTTCAGCATACACCCTGCCGCAGCCCCCAAGGCCAGGGCTGCAGCCCGGGGCTGCCTTGCTTGGGCATAGGCCTGGCTTGCTTCCTGCAGGCAGTGGGCTGCTAGCTCAGGCTGTCCCAGAGCCTGGTAGCAGGCTCCCATTTTTGCCTGGACTTCCCCCTGGCCACCCTGTGGCTGATAGTGGTCCAGGGCCCTGTGGTACCAGGCCAAAGCTTGAGGCAGGTCACCGAGGGCATGGTAGGCTAAAGCCACATTGAAACACTGATCACCGTGATGCCTGCCCTGTGCCTTCTCTTCAGGCTGGGCTCGAAGGAGCAGCTCAAGGCCTCTGGCTAGGTCCCCCGTCTCCACATAGGCAGCCCCGAGGTTGAAGGCACAGGCCCGGAGCACAGGGGTGTCCCTGGTCTGTGGGGTCTTGGAGGCCAGAAGGAATGCCCTCTGGAAGCTGGTCAAGGCCTCATGGTTCCGGCCGGCCTGTAGGGCCCCATGGCCAGCCCTGGTGAGGGTTTGGATGCTGGCCTCTGGCTGCAGCCACTTTCTTTTCTTCTTTTTCTTCTTGGCGCTTGGGGGCTCAGGCTCAGGCTCCTGGGGGAGGATATCCTCAGGGTTGGGGGAAGACATAGGGCTGAAAATGGGGAACAGAGACGTCAGAAGTCAGCCTTGGCTTCCCCTAGAGCAGGATCCCTTCAGGGCAATTCAGCTCTACCCTTGCCCTGGTGTGACCCTCGGGGTTTCCGGGATTTCTCTCTGACATCTCACTCTGCTTCATCTACCCCATTGGGCACTGTATCAACTCTCACTCTGACGTCCTGACTAATTCTTAGTCTTCCTTCAAGACTCAAATGCAGTAACAGCTTCCTTCAGAAAGCCCCTTCTCAACCAGCAACCAGGTGGGTACTGGGTGGTCCCCACACCTCTCTTTTATGGTATTTATCACACTGGGTCAGAGCTGCTGACTTTCTTGTCTTTCTCCCCCACTAAATGTGGAGCAACCTGAAGGGTCTGGCACATACTAGATGCTCAATAAATGTTCATTGAATGAGATGGAAAAGTTCTGAGATGGATGGTGGGGGTAGTTGCACAAAAATGTGAGTGTACTTAATGCCACTGAACCATACACTTTAAAATGGTTAACATGGTAGATTTGCTGTTACATATATATATTTTACCACAGTGAAAAATGTTGATGGAATGAACAAATAAGTGGATGAAGAAACAGCACATACAGGGCCTCTCCTCCATCCTCCCTTTGTACTGTGCCGTCACATGCACCCACCCACTCAAATCCAGGCACTCCTGCGGCCTAGTCTCCAGGTGTAGTGCAGGTCAGTTCAACAAATACTCAGTGAGTGCCAGCTATGTGCCGGGAGCCATACTAGGCACTAGGGGCCCAAAGCTGAACTGGCTATGGAATTGGCAAGGAGTCAACCTCCCAGAGAGTGGGATTCCATGTCCCCATTTATTGCCCCTTCCCTGTCTCAAGGCCAACCTCTCTCCCCGTCTCCACAGCTTTCTGTCTGCTGGCTGATTCCAGTCCCCAGCCATCCTGCTCTGGTCTCAAGAGCCCTCTTAAACCCAAATACGTTCATCTCATCAGTGTATGTGTCCTTTTAGTATCTTTCCCCTAGAAAGGCAAAGCCTTTTCATGAACCCTCCTCCCAGGGGATGGGGAAAGGAGTGGAAAAGACCCAGGGGCTGTCTTCTCTCCCATTTTCTTCTTTTTCTTCTTCCTTTTTTTTTCCTTTCTTAGGAGGCACAGGCAGGGGCAGTGCATTCTCTTTTTAAAGAAATTCTCCCAGCTTCTAAGAATACCCAGAAATCCTGCCTTTTCAAGACCGTAAACCCCTGGGCAGTCCTGACTACTCCCACCCAGTCTGGGGTTCCCGCGGCAGGACGCCTTACCTCCTTCAGTCTTCTCTGAAGCTGGCCTCTGGAATGGCCCCTCTGGCTTGGGTTACCTCCCCTAGCTCCTCACAGCCCTGGGGTTACTAGATAACCAGGTACCACCCTCCATTCCTAGGGAGTTCTTTGAGTGACAGCTCAAAGGCCCTATCTGAGTGCTGAACTTGATGGTGCTTAGGTACAGACACCCCAGTTCCATTGCCCTTCCTGCCCTGCTATCCACCACTCTTGCAGACACACCCCCTCAAGTCCCGTACTTCCAGGAATAAATCAAAGCCTCACGGCATTGGTTACTACCTATATCTCAGAAATCTATTTCATCCTTCTGTTTCACAGAGGAAGGGACCAAGGCTCAGAGAGCAGGTGTGACTTGCCCAAGGTCACAGAGCAGTCATGTAGCTGGGGTTAGAACCCAGGTTTTCTGATTCAAGGTAATTAGCCTAGGGTCCCTTCCACTACACTGTGATTGCAAGCATTAATGGGGCTTGGGCTGTCCAGGAAGTGAACTTTCCCTGGCACAACCCCTCTCACATGCTGTGTTTCTGTGTGTTAGTTTCATATCTGGGAACAGGGTGAAAGGTTGATGGTCAGGAAAGGCCTAGAGATCAGAAGAGCCTCCCTGCCCCCGGACTCCTTTTCCCAGCTCCACTGATGGGCAACCTACATGTTCTGCTTAATGAGAGGACAGCAGGCCCCAGGACAACGGGGACCTAATGGCCGGACTCACCAAGGGTGGCCTGCATCAGAAGGCAAATGTCCTCATTTACCTAGGGAAAGGCCTCTTTTGAGTAAAGAAAACTTTGCCAGAAATAAAATTATGAGGAAGTAGTTGGGCTTACCTGCGTTTGCCCTGTGGCCTTTACTAAATGCCTGCTGTGTGCAGGGATGGTGCTGGGAGCCTCAGATGGCGCTGTAAGGGAGTGAAAAACGGCTTTCCTCTGCCCTTCTATGTTCTTTGGCTGAGCTACAAATTAAATTGACATAGGACAGATTAACAGGAGAAAAACCATTTTAATTACAGTCATGCTTTGCTTAACAACAGGATACATTCTGAGAAATGCATTGTTAGGTGATTTGTGGTTGTGTGCAAATATCATAGAGTGTACTGTACTTACATAAACCTAGATGGTGTAGCCTACCACACACCTAGGCTGTATGGTATAGCCTGTTGCTCCTAGGCTACAAACCCGTACAGCATGTTGCCGTACTGAATACTGTAACACAATAGCAAGTATTTGTGTATTTAAACATATCTAAACAGAAAAGGTACAGTAAAAATACAGTATAAAAGATGAAAATGGTACACTTATCTAGGGCACTTACAATAAATGGAGCTTGCAGGACTGGGAGTTGATCTGGGTGAGTCAGTGAGTGGTGAGTGAATGCAAAGACCTAGGACATTACTGTACACTTTTATACAGCCGGCAGCACAATAGGTTTGTTTACACCAGCATCGCCACAAACACGTGAGTCATGTGTTGCTCTAAGACATGATGGCTACATCAGTAGGTGATGGGAATTTTTTAGCTCCATATGAGAGTAGTCATTGATTGAAATGTTGTTATGTGGACCGTGACTGTAAGTGCATATGCACGGGAGTCCCACAAAACATGAGACCTGAAGAAGGGTCAGATGACTGGAAGTTTATATAGCATCCTGAGCTGCAGAAAGGAATAGGGGTTTAGGACATTTGCAGGATGGTGGCAACACAGGTTATTGGAGGGAGGGGGGAAGAAGTACACGGTGAACAAAGGCTGTCCTGTTAGGTATTAGCTTATTAAGTATGAAATGTCCGATTTCCTTAAGTACTAAGTTTGACAGATGATATCTCTGACATTTCACTTTGACACTTCTTGTTTTATTTTTATTGTGAAGGTACATCTTCAGTCTTTCAAACACATGTTTTGGCTTGTCATTATCTTTCAAATTGTTTTTTAGAGCAATTTTTGTGAAACCATGGATAAATCAAAAATTCATGTTATTTTTTAATATGAGTTCCATCATGGAACCAATGCAGCACAGACAGCTCAAAATATCAATGAAGTGTTTGGGAAGGATGTGGCTAATGAATGCACAGTACGTCGATGGTTTGAGAAGTTCCATTCTGGTGACTTTAATCTTGAATATGAGCCACATGGGCCACCTGAGACCAAGGTGGATAATGATGAGCTGAAAGTTGTAGTGGAAGCGAATCCATCTCAACGAGTGAATTGGCAGCAAAGTCTGACGTTAATATTCCAGCAGTAATGGACCATTTGAAACAAATCAGCAAGGTAAAGAAGCTGGATAGATGGGTACCTCATGAATTAAATGAGAGCTTCAGAAGAGAAATCGTCTTGAAGCTTGCCTTTCTTTGCTGTCATGACATAAAGGCGAACCATTTCTACACCTATTGTTATGTGTGATGAAAAATGGATTCTTTTTGACAATTGCAAGAGTTCAACACAATGGTTGGATAAATATGAAGTGTTGAAACACAGTCCAAAACTGAATATTCATCAAAAAGAGCTACTGGTATCTGTTTGGCGGTCCAGCGCCGGTATTCTCCACTATGGCTTCATGAAACCTGGTCAATCGATTGCAGTGGATGTCTCCTGAGACCAAAACTAAATGACGAGGATGCTTACAAGTAAGCAGCCGAGATTGGTCAATAGACACGGGCCAATTCTCTTGTAAGACAATGCTTGACCACATGTCACACAAACAATGCTGCTCAAACTATAGAAGCTGGACTTGGAAACTCTATGTCCTCCACTGTATTCACCAGACCTTGCACCAACTGACTACCACTTTTTTTTTTTTTTTTTGAGACAGAGTCTCACTCTCTTGCCTGGGGCGAGTGCCGTGGCGTCAGCCTAGCTCACAGCAACCTCAAACTCCTGGGCTCAAGGAATCCTACTGTCTCAGCCTCCCGAGTAGCTGGGACTACAGGCACGCGCCACTATGCCCGGCTAATTTTTTCTACATATATTTTTAGCTGTCCAATTAATTTCTTTCCATTTTTTGGTAGAGATGCGGTCTCGTTCTTGCTCAGGCTAGTCTCGAACTCCTGAGCTCAGAACGATCTGCCCGCCTCGGCCTCCCAGAGTGCTAGGATTACAGGCATGAGCCACCGCGCCCAGCCTTGACTACCACTTCTTGCAAGGAAAAATATTCAATTCTCAACAAGCTGTGGAAAACACCTTTTGCGATTTCATAACCACTCCCTCTCCAGGCTTCTTTGCTACTGGCATAAACAAGCTACCATGAAGATGGCAAAACTCTGTGGATAATTTAGGCGCATACTTTGATTAATTGTACTGCTTCTTGTTTGAGATATAATGAACTACACTTTTGATTTGAAATCGGACATTTCATATTTAATGACCTAAATAGATAAAAAGTCTCTAGGGTAACAAAAATTATCTCAGAGAAGCCCTCTTCCTGATACAGATACTTTACTCATGTAGATTTCTTTTATAGATTTAAATTTCTTTTCCAAAAGGACAGTTTTTCAGAGCTACTCCTGTGTCTGCAGTTTCTCAGAATAACCACCTCGAAACATGCCAAGAAGTATATTTTGGGGTGGCATATTCTGGTTTCCTACAGTCATATTTTGGGGTGGTATGTCCTGAGTCCCAACAGCGCCCATGCCTGAGATAGGCTCTCCCAGCTGCCTGCAGCTTCTACCCACAGGCTGGGCCTTCAGGATGCTACTACAGCCTGGCCAGGGCCAAATATGCAGCTCAGTTTGCCCTTCACTCAGCAGGCTTCCCTTAAGGAGAGAGGATGACTTGGAGAGGGGGAAGGGACTGAAACTGCTCTCACCAAGGTTCTAATGACCTCCCAGTGATCCAGTGATCATTTCTGAATCATTTTCTTGACTGATTTCTCCGCTGTATCCATCACATCCTTGGAACTCTCTCCTCACTTGGCTTCTATAACCTACTATATTCTGGCTCTCTTTCCTTCTCTGATAATTCTTTTTCCATCTCCTTTGCTGGGCCCTCTGTCCATCTCTTAAATCCTTGTGTCCCCTAATACTCTGCCCATTGTTATTGTCTCTTCTTACTTTACATATTTTTTCAAGAACATTTCATCCACTCCTCTGATTTTAACACCACTGATAAGCCAATAATTTCTAAGTGTGTATCTGTAGACTTGTCCAAGTCAAACTCATATTTCCCCAAGTCCAACCTTCCCACATTCTCAGTGTCATCAGTAGACCACCAACACAGTCTCTAAACTAGAAACCAAGGAGCCATTCTTGACTCCTTCTTCTCCATTCTCAGTCTCAGCCTATCGAGTCTACCTTTGAAATCCCTCTCCAGTGTACCCTCTTTTCTGAAGTCTCATGCCATGGAGGTGGGATAGTATATAGTGGTTAAAAACTCAAGCTTGGAGTGGGATCTATTTGGGTTTATTTCTTGGCTCTACCAGTTATTGGCTGTATGACCTTTCTAAGCCATAATTTCTCATCTGTATTGTGAAGATTAAATAAAATGGTTTCTTGTAAGATGATGCTATGACCAGCATATAATGGCCAGCTTATAATAAGCACTCAATACACATTGATGTTGTGTGTTGGTCCATAACTCTGGTGTGGGAGAAATACCTCTCTAGTCAGCTTCTGTTTCAAGCCCCTCCACTGGGATGGTGGAAACAATGTGAGTCAGTTTGGGTGTTTGTCCCCTCCCTTCCCCCAGGGTAGAGTCCAAGTGGGGGAGGCATGTGATGCCAAGTCTGAGAGGGGAGGCCCATCTGGTCCTCAGCCATCTATTCACAAAGATGTCCAATGACAACTCCTTTCTTCTCATCTACCTGGCCTTTTCCGGCCCAGAGACCAAGCAGAAGAAAAGGGCAATTCATTCAGGTACTTTCTTTTTGGCTAGGTAGGGGAATTTCTGCACAGCTGTCTAAGGGTATATCTGCCTGGCTCATTATGCGACTGTTCCTTCTCAGGGTTCTGTGCTCCTAGCGTTCTTCTCAGGAGGCAAGGAAGGGGACCCTATTACCAGAAGCCACCAACATCTAGATTCTCTCTACTTCCCCCCATTGGTGAGAGGCAAGGGGAATCACTTACGGTCTTCAAGGGAACACCCACTTTCTTCAAACCTTACTTTTCCCAAACAGTTTTGTCTCAGCCCCTGAGTCTCCTCTGTTCCTCTGATGGCTCTAGGTTTGGATATTTTGTTTTCTGCCCCCTCACATCTCTCCCCCGAGTCTGTACATCTAGGCTGCCTGGCTGCTTAAAAGGAGTGTTGGAGAAGGCTAAAGGGAGAAATACCAAATGGGGAAGCCTATCAGATAATTTTTTTTCCAGCATAGTTGTTGTTATAATTATTTTTTATTAGTTCAGACCCGTATTGTCTCTCACCTGTGCAATGGCAACAGCCTCCCGATTGATCTCTGTCCCTAGCCTCACCCTCTTCCAAGCCCCTGCCGTTGGGGGGTGGCGGGGGGAAGGGGGCGTTCTAAAACATAAATCTGGCTCTGACTATGCCTAAAATGTTCCTTGGCTGGTGACTGCTCACCAGAGCCCATCCCAGCACCACAGCATGGTGCCTCCAGGCCCTCTTTCTGCCTCTCCCTGGCTGAGCTTCATTCTCCTCTAAAACCGAACTGAGTTTAATTTCCCCAGCTCACCTCCTGTTCTTGCACATGCGGTTTCCACTGACCGGAATGCCTCTCTCCTTCAGTCTGACGAATTCTTCTACACTTTTCAACCCAAATCAGCTGTCACCTCCACTAGGAAGTCCTTCCTGTCTTTCACTGCTCCTAGTCACAGCAATGATTCCCTCCCTCCGCGCATCACTGACCTCTAATTTACTTCACTATGTATCCATCACTCATGCCAGAACAGCAAACTTTTTAGAGGATTAACTGAGCTTATGCATCTCTGCATGTGCATCTGCTAAACCACCTAGTTTAGCGCATAGTACCAAGTAGGCCCGCGGGTTAGCAGGACCCAGGAATACAGTAGGAAGTGGAGCGTGGGTTAATGGGAACGCCAGGGGTAAATGACAGAGGCAAGGGCAGGGGCAGAGGCTACTTGAAATAAGCCTGTTAAGCGGCAAAGGAGTTCTGAGGAACGGCAGAAGGAGGAACTGAGTGCAGTTCGGAAGGCGAGTGTCCCTGCCCCAGCCTGGGGAGGTTTTCTGGTCTCCACTAGGGCGGCGGGCCTTCGCTTCCTGAAACTACAGATCCCAGGGCTCTCTGCGGCGCGACCGGAAGTGTCCTGTCCGACTGTGGCGACGGAGAGGGGCGGTGGCCCAGCGGCGGGAGATTCAAACCTGGAAGGAGGAACATGGAGGGAAGAGGAGCGGGCCTGGGCCGGGCGGCCTGTGAGTGCCGGCAGGGTCGGAGGAGGGTTCCGCGGTGGCGCGGCTGGTCCGGGGCTTGGCAGTCCCAGGAGAGGCTGGGGCGGGGGCTGGGTGCGGAGCCTGGGGAAGGGGCGGTGGGACTGCTCTGTGGGGAGGGAGTACTCAGTCCCGGGCGCCGGAGTAGCACTGTGAGCAGTGACACGTCCCCTGAATAATGTGCCGCCCTTTAAAGCTTACAAAGAGCTTTCTGCCTTATTTCCAAGTTCTGGGGCTCCGGGATCGGGAGAACGTAGGTGATCTGGCCCCTTGGAAGTCAGCAGTTACTGATGGCTAACACACTTGCCAAGCGCTGCCACGGGACAGGACGCCCAAAGGGACCAGGGACTCGTATGCTTTGAGATGCCGCTTTGAGACTATGCTTTTTAAACCTTAGGGTGCCGAAATTACTTGGGAAGCTTGTTTAAAATGCATATTCATGAGCACTATCCCAGAGCTTCAGCTCCAGCAGGCCTGAATTGAGGCCTGGAAACTGCATTTATAACAAGCACTGTGTTTTCTCTCACCCCAGGTGATTGTGATGCAGGTAGCCCATGGCCACACTACTTTCAAAAACACCGCGTTAGAAAGAGAGACTGGGGTTGGAAGGAAGGATTGGGGGGGCAGAGAGATTTCCTGAATGAAAGGCAAAATTTGCTCTTTCTTCCACCCCCTCCTTTCTCTCTGTTAAGATCCAAAAAGCAAAGTCCACCTCCACTCTTCTGTTAAAGGAATGCTAGTTCCAGACCTGAGAAGGACAGGAAGATTTTTTTTTTTTTTTGGAGACAGTGTGTGTGGGAGGACAAAGTCCGTCCCGTCTCTCACAGTCCTCAGTTCATAACTCTGAGGTGACGTCACTCACTTACTGGTTTATTTTCCATGCTTAACAACCAACACTTGTTCCTTGTACACCCCGTTGGAGGAACTGATGGCTTTCCTGTGGTTGGCCAGTGCTTTCAAATCTGTACTGGGAGGGGTGTGTGTGTGTGTGTGTGTGTGTATGTTTTAACTTGCTTAACTGCCAATTCAAATAAGCCCTGCCCTTCTCCAAATCGTATTGCAGAATATGCAATATAAGGAAATAGGAAAAGACTGGGAATGACATTAAGTTCTGAGTTAAAGACAGATGGACTAAGCTCTGCCTTTTTTCAAGCTCTGTCAGTTTATTTTCTTGGTGTGCGTGTAGCTTTCTCTCACCCTGTTTGCTTTCGTATTGTCTTCCTTAAGGAGAACAGAGAGATAGGGGAGAGGAGAAGGGAGAAGGATAAAGTGAGGCTGTGGCTAAGGCGAAGTATGAGTGCTGTCTCATTTAAGGGGTTCTCTATTCTTGAGTTTGGAGGTCAAAGTATTGTCTGCATTTTATTTAGCTTGAAGATTATTTTCCTTCTCGGGTGACCTATACCAGAAAGGATAGTGAAGGTACCTTTGTAATCTTTTAAAATTCTCTTTGTCCTTCCACTTAACCCCAAGTGAGTGGTATTTCTCTCTGGCGGACTGCCTTTTCCCCCTTTCCGCCTGTTTAAAACCTTGTTCATAGTTAGAATCCTTTGCTTCCTCTACTGCTTCCATAGATTTTATTCATGGGCTATAATCATACTTATCATATTAGATTGGAGTTATTTACTTACATGTTTTTCTCTTCTAATTATAATCTCTGTATTTCATAAGAGTAGGGGCCACTAGCCTAGTGCCGGACAGACATAAAGGAGGAAATGAGTGAATGAATGGCTGTTGAATGATGAATCCTGGTTGGTTCTGTTACCTAGCCTCTGACAGAGTACCCGGCAGGATGATACAGGTCTAGTTCTTGGAGAACTCAGTCTAATTAGGGATGAGATAAGAAGCCAAGTTTCCAGCCAATTAGGGCTCTGGACATCCCAGCTGGGAGACATGGAGGGAAGGGGCATGAGAAGACTTGAGGAGGAAGAGAACAGGGAGATGGCTGCAGAGGAAAGAGAAGGAATGCTTCTGCTACAGGAGGAGGCTGCCTGTTTAAGGGTATCCTGGAAAGAGGAGAAGGAGGGACGTATGGGAGATGCTTCACGTCTCTGAGCAGGGTTGCCTAAGCAAGTCTGTTAAGAAGAAGCTTCAAACGCCCCCTAATGCTCCCTTCTTTCACCTTATTTCCCTTTACTCCTCAGATGAACGCCTCACAGCTGAGGAGATGGATGAGCAGAGGCGGCAGAACGTTGCCTATCAGTACCTGTGCCGGCTGGAGGAAGCCAAGCGGTAAGCAAGGTCTAGAAAGATGGACACTTTCTGGTCTCCCTTTTCTACCCCCACCCTAGGCATCTGCTCCCAAAGCAAATGCAACAGGACAGGGTCCATTCTGTGGGAGAGGGTGAGTTGAAATAGCTGTGGTTTTTATTACTAAGCAAATCCCAATCACACCCTTTTACTCCCTACATACTTCACTACATATCTCTAAAATATATGTACATTCACTTATGTAACCACAATGCCATGATAATACCCAACCAAATTATTTGTAAGTCTTTGGAAGATCAATACCCAGGCCATTTCCAAATTTTCTTGATTGTCAAAAAAAAAAAAAAAAACTTCCCGTAGCTAGAACTGAATAAACAGAGTAAAACAATTCTGTTTTTATAGTTAGCTTATTTAAATAAGGATCTAAAAAATTTCACTTATTACATTTGCTTGTATGTCTCTTAAGTCTTCTTTAATCCAGAGCAGCCCATCTCCCCTTTTTGTTCTTTTTTTTTTTTCTTTAAGAGATGAGGTCTTGCTTTATTGCCCAGGCTGAAGTGCAATGGTGGCACAATCATAGCTCCCTGCAACCTCAAATTCCTGGGCCCAAATGATTCTCTGCTTCAGTCTCTCAACAGGTGTGTGCTACCATGCCCTGCTGATTTTTTAAAAAATATTTTTTTGTAGAGACAGGGATCTCACTGTTACCCTGGCTGGTCTTGAACTCCTGACCTCAAAGGATCCTCCCACCTCGGCCTCCCAAAGTGCTGGGATTATAGGCGTGAGCCACTGCACTCAGCCAGGTTCTTTGTATCATTGACTTGCTGAAGAAACTGGGTCATTTTTCCTTTAGAACATGCTATATTCTGGCTTTATCTATTTTCTTTCTTTCTTTTTTTAAAGACCTGTGTCTATTTGCTTTCTTGTGTCATTAAGTTTGTTCCTCTATACCCTATATGTCCTATATGTGGATGTTGGCTCTAAAGGCTTAATTCGATTTGGGTTCAACATTTTTGACAAGAAGTCTTCATTGGTGGTAGTATGTGTTTCATTCCACATCTCATAGGGGGAATACAATGTCTGCTTGTCCCACTTTTAGTGATGCTGAGTCTGATCAGGAAGTTCAGGTAATAACCTGATCTCTACATTGTAAAATTTCCCACTAACTCATCAACTAATGTCTTTATCCATTGTTGGTCCTCACTAGAATCTATTATTTTATTAGGGGTCAAAATGACTATTTTCTAGTTCTGTTATTTCTTTTCTTTTTTTTTTTTTTTTT